CGATTTGGTGGGATTTTCCGGATTTGCTGGGATTTTCACGTGGAGAAGAAGAAGCAAAGTATAGGGGTGGGGTTGGGTATATGTTGTTGTTTGGTGTATTGCTGTTGCTATGTTGAAATTAAAAGGGAAAAGAGGTGGGGTCAGTTTGGTGTATGTTGTATTATTATATTGTTGGGTGCTTTTTGAATTGGAAAATAAGTGGGTGGGTGGGGTCGGTTTGGTATAATGTTGTGTTGTTGGAACGTTGTATGTATAGGAATGGACTGAAATTGGGTTTGGGTCTTTTTTTTTTTTTATATTGTGGAGGGTTAAAATTGGGTGTCAACAATGGATAACACAACAAACGTGCAGTTACAATCTCCATCTTCAGGTCCACCAGTGCACACAATTATTCTGTTATTATCTCCTGCCAGTTTAACTATTCCTCGAGACATTTCTGCTGATGGCCCTTGAATTATAGCAGGAGCAACCTCAATTGCCATACACAGGCGCCGGTCTCTAGAAGCTTCTGGAATGTTCAATTTGTATGGCCTCAGTGATGAGAATTCATCCTAGAGGAACTGAGTTTCTTGTTGTCCTTGAGGGAACACTCTATGTTGGTTTTGTACTATCAAACCCTGGTCCAAATATGAAGAACAAGCTCTTTACCAAAATTCTACATCCCGGAGATGTGTTTGTCTTCCTAATAGGTCACATTCATTTTCAATTCAACCCAGGAAAGACTAAGACTGTTGCATTTGCTGGACTCAGTAGTCAAAATCCAGGAGTCATCACCATTGCAAATGCAGTATTTGGCTCAGACCCACCCATCAATGATGATGTTCTTACAAAAGCATTCCAAGTTGAAAAGAAAGATATTGATTACCTCCAATCACAATTCTGGTGGGATAACAACTAAAACTTTTATTTCAAAAAATACATGATTTACAAATAGTTATGGTTTTTGTGAATTGCTTTGCTTTTGTCACAAAAATTATTAAATAAGTATTGATCATTTCAACTGGTTTGATTTCCTCTCCATTTTAGTGTGACGTACGTACATTGGGTGAGGATATATGTTAGTATGTGGTTTGTTATATGGAATAAAAATAATTTTGTTGTTTGTGATATTTCATTCTTTATCCCCCGTTACTCGCTAATTTCTTGTTTTCTAATAGTGATATTGTACTTGCTATATTCTCTAATCTCCACTATAGGAGGGAATTAAAGTTCCATCGATCTTCAGAGCATATAAAAAGTAATTTTGATTTCGACCAACACAAAAGTATCGTCCCCAATACGTAGAATAATTATCTAATTTTTAAGTGAATATATATAAAAGTGAATATATTCATTTGTATTACTTTCCATGTAAGGAATATATTCTCCAATCTCCACCATCCTATGACAAAGCCTTTTCAGTCATTAGGAATAGAAATAATTCAACTATAGTACCGAAAGGTATAGTGAAAAGCTTTGGTATCAATACTTTCATTATTAATCAGAAATTTCGAACAGGTTACAACTCTGAAATAATATTTAAAATCTCGTACGAGCTAAAATTGAATTTCGATATAAAGATTTTTTTCATCATATATATAATAATCAAATATCAACTTTAGCTAATCTAAAGTCCTCAACCTCAATTTTTGTAACTTATATTCTAGCTCCTACTATACAATTTATTGCTACTAATTGGTGGCTAACATAAGTGAACTTTGTTCAATGGCCACCAGACAAATAGCATATGATCAATCATCCAACACTTATGGAAAGTCATATGATGTGTTTTTGAGTTTCAAAAGTGAAGACACTGGTAAAAATTTCACAAATCACCTCTCTACAGCTTTAAATCAAGCAGAATTTCGCACGTTTGAAGGTGGTGATAATGAATCAAGAAGAAGAAGACATTGATTCAGAGTTTTCTAAAGCAATACAAGATTCAAAGATGTGTATAATTGTATTCTCACAAAATTATGCATCTTCTAGTTGGTGCTTAGATCAACTTGTTTCCATTCTTGAATACAAAATGAAGTTTGCATGTATGATATTGCCTATTTTCTACCATGTTGATCCTTCCAATCTAAGGAAGCACAAGGGAAGTTTTGGAGAAGCATTAAATAGGATTATTTAAATACTTTTATCTCTCTATAACTGCTTTTTATCCGCAACAAACATCCACCAATATAATAGTAATCTTCTTATAAACTCATTGATACAATCTTGTTCAATTAGTATTAATTATTTTTACTATATATTTCACTTTTGTTGCTCATGTAAATATTATTATTGTTGTTGTTGTTGTTGTTCGTTTATTACCAACTAGCTTCCTATAAAGACAATTAATTATTATTAAGGTGAAATAATTCCTTCAATAATTATTATCATTATTAATAGACGCATTCAGAAAATAAAAAAAATATTGTCTTAAGATATGTTTAATGAGGTCCCTTAATGCTTAATTAGTGGTCTAGCTGCTACTTTAAACTTCATTAATCAATAGATTTTGACAAATAAAGTAGCCTTTCCTTGTTTTTTTTCTCTCAAAACAATGGAACAGGGTGAAGTATCACAAACAATAAACTTATTTTTATTCAGTAACACAAACCACACATAACAGATTTCCGCATCCAATACGTCACACTAAAATGGAAAGGAAATTAAACACGTCGACATGATCAATACTTATTTAGTAATTTTGTGACACAAGCGGTTCACAAATTAAAACCATAATTATTTGTAGATCATATATTTTTTTTTTAAAATAACGGTTTAGTTGTTATCCCACCAGAATTGTGATTGGAGGTAATCCACAACTTTGTTCTCAATTTGGAATGCTTTGGCGAGGACATCGTCATTGATTGGTGGGTCTGATCCAAATACTGCATTTGCGATAATAATGACTCCTGGATTTTGGCTACTGAGTCCAGCAAATGCAACTGCATTAGTCTTTCCCACATTAAATTGAAAATGAATGAGACCTACTGGGAAAACAAACACATCTCCAGGATGTAGGATTTTGGTAAAGAGCTTATTCTTCATATTTGGACCAGGGTTTGAAAGGACAAATCCAACGTAGAGTGTACCCTCAAAGAGGGCAAGAACTTCAGTTCCTCGGGGGTGAGTATGAGGTGGGTTGAGACCGTATGGTGCAAAATCAATACGAGCTAAGGAAATGCCCAGGGTATTGAGTCCTGCCAAGTTGTTGACGTTCACTGCAGTTACAGCAGATCCAAGTTGATTTGAAGTATTTCCGGCCATGTTTAGCCCCGGCCTAAAGAAGTCATCAGCAGTGACATCCATTGGATTCTTGCAAAATTTTCCATTCACGAAAACTACAAAAAGGAAGAAGTTTTAATTAGATAAAAATTAACAAAAAAGGATTAAAAGAAAATCTAAAAACTTGATAAAAATAGCAATGATCATATATGTAATTTAGTAATTTACCAGCACTCTTGGAGTCATCAACAGCAACACAGAAATCCTGAAGAGGGCTAGGATCAGATGCATGGCTCATTGAAGATAAAACAGCCATTATGGCAATGATTAATACTAATGACTTGAAAGTCATTATTACTAGAAACTTAATTACTTTACTATCTTATGAAACAATATATTCAAATGATGTTTTTTTGTTGATTTGTGACAAACCTAATAAGAAAAAGCTTCGTATTTATAGATGATTATTAAGTTTGAATTGGTCGTCAATTTTCCTTAAATAAATAGTACTTATTGATACATTAGGCTTTTGAATACGAAGTCATCAATATAATGGTAAATTTTTCAAAAAACTATTGAAGCTTCCTTCAACAACTACAAATTAAAGACCAAATCTTATTTACGTACCTACGTTGAAATTAAGATTTGACGTAACATACTGACTAGCCAAGAGGGAAAAACAGAACAAAAAATTGTAACCTACTAGAGGTAAGCATTGTGTTGTTGTAATTACCACAAATACTTTAAATTACAGTTGAAAATAAAATGACAAAAATGAATAAATAAATCTTAGGCTGAGGCACGGATATCTCACGAAAGAAATTCAAGCCCACTGTGGCATAATCTACACCGAACCAGCAGTAATACTCTTGACTTGTCTCCTCCAGGATACAACAGCCCAACAACATGTACAACTCAAGTAACTCCAGATTAGTTGAAGAGTCCAAAGCTCCACATAAGAACACACCTTCCTTCAACGTATAAATACTCTCTCGTATATAGTGAATATAGTTGAACACTTAGAATTTTTTTCTATGTCTCAACTCTCTCTTTCACTATTACACACTACAATATTCCTTCACACTTCTCATCTTTTTGAGATACTTCAGAAAGGAAGAAACACCATTTTTATAGGTGAAGAAGTCTTTCATGTAATCAATAGGTATAATGAGGGGTAGTAATGTGGGTAGATAAATGTGATAGATGTTACATGAGTTACAAGAAACTAATGGTCATATGAGTTACAAGAAACTAATGACCATGAGAGTTACAAGAACTAATGGTCATATAAGTTACAAGAATCAATAGTCATCTTCTACCACAATTTATACCACTAACTTATGCACTTAATATTTTATTTTAATCATAAAATGCATAATACACCAACACATTGTATTAGACATGTAAATAAATAATATTTAAGGAATAATTACTCTAAAATCTTCATTGGTACATATATTGTACAACTGAGAATAACTATTCTACAGTTATATCTCTCTACAACATTTTATAATAACAATGCTTTCTTTATAATTGATTTTTGTATTATATTAGATTATATGTTCTTTATAATATAATATTTTGTTATAGCAATCAAAAAATATCTAAATAAATAAGTCTGTCATATATAAAGATGATTGATTAATTGTATAGATATATATGTATCTTGACCTCAATAATATAAAATTTGTTTCTTTGCATGATCTAGAACATAATTTGACCGTAATATAAAATTTGACAGTGACGTACTAACTTGCCAAGGAAAAAGAAGAAGAAGAAGAAGAAAAAATCGTGACCTATACTCGATGTGCACAAAAAAGTATCGAGGAGGATTATTTAGAATCTAAACTTTATGAATTCCTTAATAATATAAAGTTAATAAATAATAATATATAATTAGATTTACAATCACATATTTACAAATTACAAGTGTTTAATGAATTTTTTCAATATAAATACAGATTATATACAAATATTATTGGATTATGAGGAACTCATACACTATTATATAGATCCGAATCTGAGAAGCATACTACTGGACAGACGAATAAATAATATGTTGATTTAGTCTAAATCTTCATGATTTCGACATAAATATATACCAGAAACTAACTAAATCTTATTTCGTTGTTAACTTTTAAAATTATCTGATCAACAACTGCATTGATTTTTATTATTAAAACTATAGTATTAAAATTAAAATTTATTAAGTACTGATGACTACGATGGAAATTTGCATGCGAGAAGAAAGTTCATTCATATCAATATGATTAAAATTACATGAAAACTTAAAATTTTCGTATTTTTGAACCACAACACCAATCTTGTCATTGTAATTTTAAAAAGGAGTAATAATTGAGAATAACTATATATTTTATAAAGAGAGAAATACCACTCTGTAGCAAGAAACAATCATCATCGATAATAATGTTTTACTAGGATAACGATTTTCATATTATGTTATATTTTTGAAGATAACATTTTGTTATAGGCTTATAGCAATTAATAAATATCTAAAGACTGAACAAACAACTTTGTTACCGAAAGAGTTGACTGTATAAACATATGTATCTTGGCCTCATATACATAACGTAATAAGTTATTCCGAAAAAATAATTAATCCATAAATAACTTGTTTCCAACACATAATTGTAAAACAAAATATATTAAAGCAATATAAGTCTTCCTTCGTAGATCTTC